CCGCCCGCCAGGGCTGCTGATGATGTCAGTCAATGTGTGTGAGCCGGCAACAACGCCCGCCACGAGGGAGAAAGCTGCTGATGGTGTGAGCGCGGAGAGGAGCTCCGCCCCCTGCATCATGGCTGAGGGTGAGCTGACTATGGTGGGACATAAGGGCCAGAATGTGGAGGGAATTCAGGGTCAAAAGGAGGAGGAGAGACCTCGGAATCCTCAGTTTAGCCCAGGAAGGGCTCCCGATCCCTTGTCGAGCCTCGGAATGGCTCTCGATCCCATCGAGCCTCGGAATGGCTCTTGATCCCCTGTCGAGCCTCGGAATGGCTCCCGATCCCCAGTTCAGCCCGGGAAGGGCTCCCGATTCATCGTTTAGCCCGGGAAGGGCTCCTGATTCCTCGTTAGGCCCAGGAAGGGCTCCTGATCCCCAGTTCAGCCCGGGAAGGGCTCCTGATCCCCAGTTCAGCCCAGGAAGGGCTCCTGATTCCTCGTTCGACTCCGTTGGGCTCCTTCCTCCCGCCAGCTCCACCTTGGTTCTCAGTCGCTCCGCCGCGGATCTCTGGATCGCCGCCTCGGTCGCCAGAGCCCTCGGCTCCACCATGGCCCCCCGGATCCTCGGCATCCCCCTGGCTCGTTGGCTCTCCGTCTCCACCTCGGGCTCCTCCACCACCTGCTCCGCCGCTGTTGGTCGGCCTCCTGGAGTCGGTGGCCATTCCTTCTCCATGGCTCCTCCCTCCGTCGGCTCCACCGTGGGCCGCTGTTATGGCTGTGGCCTGGGTCCTGCTGAGCTCCTCCTGCTCCAGGTCCCTCCTGTCTCCTCCCTGGCTCATCCCCCCTTCGTCGCCACCCTGGTCTCTGTCTGCCGGCCTCCTCCCGGTTATCCATCCTCTGCCGGAGCCTCCACCTATCATGTCTGCCTGCCAGCCCTTTGCCTTCCCCTGTCTCCATCCCACATCCACTCCTTTGTCCTCCTAAGTCCCCCTCCGTCCCTCCCTCTGTCTCCACGGCGCAAGGATGCGCCTTCTGGGAGGGGGACGATCTGTCACACCCCTGTGGACGGTTGATTGTGGTTTCTCCCTCTGTGTCCGTATTTGGTTGTTCCTGTTCTAATCATTAGTTAATTATCCTCATTGTGCTCACCTGTCTGCCCCTCGTTATCTGCCCTATATCAGTTCCTGTCTCTTGTATTTGAGTTGGTCGGTTATTGTGAATGTTACCCTGTGTGTTGATGTCTACCCTGTCTGGATCTCCTGTTGTCATATCATTAAATATCCTTTTATTCGTCATCTTCGCCGTCCTGCCTGGTCTCTAGTACACCCTGCCCGTGACAGATATAGAATGCCATAAGTACTGCAAATTATATAATCTAACATGTTCAAAAGTTTGGGGTCGTTAAGTTATTTATTTTTTTTATTTAAATCAAAAGTCTAATGCTCATCAAGGCTACATGTATGTAATCAAAAATACAGTAAAACAGTAATATTGTAAAATAATACTACAATGTAAAATTAGTTTTTTTTTAATTATATATTTTAAAATGTAATTTATTCCTGTGATTGCAAAGCTCAATTTTCAGCAGTCATTGCTCCAGTCTACAGTGTCACATGATCTTTCAGAATTCATTCTAATATGCTGATCAAGAAACATTTCTTCTTTTTATTATCTTCAGTTTTTTTGTGGAAGCGGTGATATATTTTTTTCAGGAGTCTTTGATGAATAGAAAGTTCTTTAGATCAATATTTTGGATCAATACATCCAGGTAACATGAACAGCTGAAAACAAGATGAATGAATGAGACAAGTTTAAGAGGAATAGATTTAGATCCTATATGAACAGTTTCTGTGGAGCAGGTCAGAGCAGTGTTCTGATTCTGAGAAAAAACTCTTAGTGGAGTTACAAGGGTGTGGGTTATTATTAAATAACAGGCAGGTAATGCCTGGTATGTAGCAGAAAAAAATGAATCAGACAAAGACACAATGAAAGAATGTTCTTCTACATGTGTATGTGGTGGTTAACGTACAGGTTTCTTGAGGAAGAACACAGACAGTGCACCAATCAGAGGCATGTCTCCCAGCAATGGCTCCATGATGACCCTCAACACCCCATTAAGCTACAAATACAAACAACAAACAAAAAGGTAAGATTGTAATATTTTTCATAATTAATATGACATTTAATCACATTTTTAATATATGTATTAACATATTTTATATATAATATTGGAAAGAAGACAGGAAATCATAAGGAGGAAGAATGAAAGTGAGAAATGTTGGATTCAAACTTGAGCACTACAGCTCAATCTGTCGCAGTATGCATTAACTACTAGCACAATGCACATACATTATATGTGCAGCTGACCCGAGTTTGAATCCTGCTTGGGTTATTTCCCGATACCACCACCTCTCCTCTCTATAATGTTTCCTATAACATCTCCACTGTCCTCTTCAGTTAAAGGTAAAAAGCGCATATAAATAATTCAAAAACTTCTGCTTGCAAATATGAGAAGGGACTAACATTAACTCTAATGCTTGACTATAATCTAACAGAGCACAGAAGCTTTTCTGACATACAGTTCAAACTCATATCAAAGCTCACGTGTGGTCGCTCTGATATCTGTTATCAGAGGTAATGGGGACCTACTCAAATGTAAGCAACTTATGTAAGCAACACACAAACAGGCATTTGTCACACACTCTCTGTATCTTACCTGTATGCTCTTGATTCCTGCACGGCAGTAGTATTTCTTAATATCCACATCAATTTCAGTGTTTCCGACAAAACTAGACAAATACAACAACACACAAACAGACTTTCAATATCTCAAGCCCAATAATGAGTCTCAGAGGTAAACTTTATCTATGTGTATTTTACCTGATTTGTAGGTCCATAATAATCTGTCGTCTATCTACATTCTCTGTATAAACTTTCACTCCATCCACCCTGAGAGGCTGCAGACAGATGAAAAATTCTTTTATTTTGTGTGTAAGAGTATATATGTGTGTGTGTGTGTGTGTGGGTTTACCGAGCTGTCTCCAGGAGCGAGTTAAATAATATGACTAAATCTTCCTTTCTGTATGTCCTCAAAGGTAAAAAGAAGCTAATATTTACTTATATGTTTTTTATTAGCATTTTTAAATGCCAAAGGTTTCCTTTGAGGGCTAGATTTAGGGTTTCGATTAATCTGTTTCAATTATAAATAGCTTTACATAAAGCAATCAAAGACTTTGGTATGTCCTCTAAGGTAAAAACAGATTTAAACAAAAATTAAGAAGTGCTTTTGTTCATTAATAATAAATAAATATGTTCATATAATTTTACATAATTCACTAAAATATTTTTTATATAATTAATAAATTATATTTAAATTATTTGTAATTTATAAATGCAGTCATTTTTAATGATCTTACGTGCATTTCATGTGTATTTTTCTTTTTGGGTTGGTTTAGGGTTTGAGTTAGTCTGTCTATGGTATGCTCTCATTTAGATAGCTAGGTAAACATGTGCATGTACCTTGTCCCCCATGTCTATCTTGGAGAAGGTGAAAGTACTAAGGTGCGCATTGGCTCCCTGCACTGCTGGTTCAATGGTCTCTCTGAACAGTTTATCTACAAACTGACAAATATATGGCCACATCTGATGCACAGTCTGTTCGAAAAAGAGAAAGAGAAAGAGTTAATACTCTTGAGGAGACATTTCTGGGTTAGCATAGATTCAGATCTATTTTTATAAAACCCCTCCACCACACACACATACCTTGTTGAGCCACTCCACTCTCTCCACATCTGGAAAATGAACCTGAAACACAAAACAGACTGAATAATTAGAATTTTTTATTTTAATGGATATTTTAAACACATTCATTAGTCACAGCACATCACCAGTTGACAGTAACATTTCTCAAAATAATTGAACAAATCAATATTTTTACACTTTATCACAATGACACATAATGATTCTTTAAATGTACAGCATGTAGTGAAACGATGCATTGGGTCATGAGCTGATATAAATAGAGGAGTTCAATTTCCACTTCTCTAACTCTTAAAATGAACTAGTTTTATTCTCATTCCTCATTACATGACCACATTATAATGACATAATGTGGCTGTTTAACTAGAACATTTTGTTACACTGCTGAAGACTAGCAAACTAAAGGTGCTAACAAAACATGCTCTCTCAGTCTCAGTCTCTCCATCTCACTGAGAGCGAACGATGCAATAAAACTAGAGCGTTCTCATTACCAATAATAAATCTGTCAACACTGTAAACTTCACCACCGTGTGAAGCAGGATTAGAAATAAGGAATCTTTTTTTAATAACATGAAGCAAATAATTTTCGTAAATGTCCTTGTTTTGTAGGCAGTTTCTTTGGTTTGAATTGTAGTCTTCTAGTTTTTGTTGCATCATGCTGTTCGCTCACAGTGTAGACAACGTGTCTCTCTTTGGCTCTTCATCTTACTTTCCTCAACATGGAGTAGTGTAAGCTGTGGTAAGAAGAAAGGACCTATATGGAAAGATGTGGCACAAAAGCATGTGAGCGAGAGATATGCCAGGAAAACCAAATGGAAAATCCCTGACTTGTCTTTGGCTCCATTTCTTTCTCATATTTTCCTGAGGGAGAAAGCCAGTCTATGACTCAAAGCTGTGTTATTTCCTGATTATACGCGCAGAGAACAGACAGCAGCTAAAGTTAGCTTGCTAATTCCCATGGCCTGTCAGAGAACAGCCGACACTGAGCTGATCTGATCTGATATTACAAACACTGCATCTGTACATGTCTTATCTCTGCCACAAACACACACACACATCTCTGGTCTTCAAAGAGCTAAGAAAGCATTGTTAGGGGTCAACGTCTCATTCACAAACACATTGTGAATATAAATTAAATATAATTCAATACCTTTCTGCCTGTTTCTATAACATCACACACTAGTTTTGTACCTTCGATCCGTACATACAGTAAAATGAGAACGTAAATGAGGCAGAAACTTCCATGCAGTAATTCCAGTTTCAACAGCGCAGTTCTGACACGACACAGGCAGCTAGTCTAAACATGTAAAGCTGATTCATGAGGACATGTTAACACGCTGAACAAATGCAGTAATGTGTGTGTGTGATTTATCTGCATGGGCGTAAATGTGTGCATCTGTGTAAGATCTGATCTGTTAAGCAATGTCATTTCCTAGGCAAGCAAACAACTTTGTCATATACAATCCTGCTGCCCAGTTGAGAAACAAACACACAGACATGCTCATTCTGAAAGTAACTATAGCAACCAGGAAGAACTTCATACAGATTTGACCTCATTTGACCTCTAAATGAGTCAACCAGCGGTGTAGATTGTATTGTCAACTCAATGAAGGACTGACAGCTTGAACTCCTTAATGATTTGGTGAGATATCACAGGCACTTCTGAGATGATTCAGCAAGACTGGTGAACAGGTCAAAGGGCATTTGCTGTTTTTTTTTATCCGAGAAGCATGTACAGTATCAGACAGCCTTTCGTAAAGACTTTCATCAATGAATCATTAGCAGAATATCGAGGGTGAGTAAATGAATTAAATGAGTAAATGAATGAAAGCTGAATTTTCAGAGTGAACTAAACGCAAGAAAAAAATGTATTTACTTCTTACATGATCAATAAGAGCTTGATAGGGTTGATAAATGGCAAAGTAAATAAGCATCTCTGCTGAGTGAGAACAGACAGACTGACACCCCACAGCAATTTACAGACAGTGATTAATGAGGCTGGCGATGGAGGGATCTGCTGATATAAGCGAGTTGTAGTTTATTCAGTCAAAGACAAATGACGAGAGAGAGAGGAGAGAGAAATACTGTCGTAAAGAACACAGTGCTTCCTGAAAGAAGGAGAGGATGGCTGCGGGTGAAATCAATGCAGAAGATGAGTGTTAAAAACCTCTACCCCTTATGAAAAAACTACTGGAGCTTAGCAAAGCAAGGAAAAGAACCAGCCATATTCTCAGCACCTAATACAGAAGAAGAGACAAGAGAAGAACTATCTAAACAAACACACTCTCTGATGGCCCTTGTGAATTTGATCAGACAGTTAATCAAACATACTGTACTAAATCTATCAGTCAGTCACACACACACACACACACACACACACACACACACACAAACACAGATATCAAAGATCGCACAGCGCACACACAGAAACATTAAGGAGCATGGAAACTTGTTGTCAGCGACTTTTATTATTAAAACAGCTTCGATACTGAATTGCTACATTACTATGAGCAATGAGGGGGTAAAATCGCTGTTTTTGAAGTAACTAAACTCACAGCTTCACCTTAGTAGAGAGAGAGTAAAGGCGTCTCTTGCATAAATAACAGTTTTGCAAAAGTCCGTTGGAGCCTTTTTTTGTATTCTAATGTACTGCAGAAGTTCCGAGGTATTTATTTTGTAAATATTAAGTATTTTGAAGCTCAGAAATATTATATTTTATGTTTGCATAAGTGTCTAATCTATATTGGTTCTCAGAAGCAGCATCACCTTTCTTACAGTTAGTATGAATATTTTGCAAAAAAGATTTTGACTAAATTTCAATATGCATTTTTGCAATTAATAATATACATTTTTTCAGAAAGTTGAAGTGATGGCATCATTTGAGGATCCCTGTTGGAGATGATCTTCCTGATCTGTGGTAGATATTGTTAGGATACATTTACTTTAAGTTTTTAATACACACACATATATAGGTCTATGTAATATTTTTTTTTCATATTTGACCATACTTAAGAAAAATATTTAGAATTTAAATGCTTGACATTTTGATTCTGAAGAATTTCATCAGGAGGATTTGGCAACGCTGCTCAGAAGTAGTGGCCAACCACTTAAAGAAAGAGTTGTCCAGCTAATCAAACTCAAACTTCACTGGCTTTTCATTGCCATGTTTGATATAATGATTCACTTGTTAGTTATTAACACATGCACAAACACAGACACACAATAGGGTAGGAGCACTGCCTTTATAATATCTGCCCTCCAGGCAATGTCACTGTATCTGCTCGTCCAAACTATTGTTCAGAAAAGGAAAGTGGTGCACCACAACTGCTTGACAGGTCACTATAGCAAAATTTCCTCAAGCATGTGACTCACTGTGTGTTGGTGATGTCATAATAATAACATCAAATATCATAATGGCAGTTACTCTAGTAACAAACCACACCCACTAAGGAGAGTTTTTTTTTCAGCATATGCAGCCATCATCTGACACAAATAAACAATACATCACCAGTTCCTGACACAAACACACAGACAGACCACTTCACTCGAACACATGAACTGAAAACTAGCCTAATGATTATAGCAAATTTGAGTGTGTGAAGTGAGTTTCATTTTTGATTAATCCACTTTCACACGTTGACAACAGGGTTATTATAGTTAAATAAACTAAAATCATTAAAAAAAAACATTTTGGTACTTAAAATAAATGTTAAATCAATGTATATAAAAAAGCTTAAACTTATTTTATTTCATCCAATGCAACATTTCTTATTTTTGTTTAGTTTAACTTGAAGTACTAAAATGTAAACTAAATAAAAACTTAAAACTTAAACTAAATAAACTAAACTTAATAAATAACAAAATAATAACTATATTGACATTTAAAAAATAATAATAATAATAATAAAAATTAAAAAGCACAACTAAATTAAACCAAATACATTTTATATTTAAAATTATAGAGAAAACAGAAAAAACTAAACAAAAAAAAACAGCATTAGTATATAAATAACACTAAAGTAACACTGACTCACAATCAAACAGACCATGCAACCAATCCCATGTCAGACAATCAGTCAACCTGAGTTTCACGATTTACCTGTTCATGTTACTTAATATTGGCCTAAAACCGAAAGAAAGAACAATGACTGTCCTGGCCATGGCAAGACTGTGATTTACAGCTAATGGAGTGAACACTGGAGTTTTGTGTCCCTGAATGCTGCTTTCAGCACACAGGCATGCTAATATGCCAGAACTATGATCTCAGGTTAGACAGCAAACTCATTTGTTTAAAGTAACAGAACACCAAAGTCTGTAGGCCAAAAGAAACAGACTCAACAACCTTACCCACGTCTGTGCTTAGAGCTTTGAAGATGTCCCACAAGGATTCAAATTCATGAAAAATGATTCTAAATGCAGCCTCTGATATAATATTTCACGATCAGAATGTATTATCATAGAAGCACCCACCATAGACACCTCATCTAGTATTCAAAATAGCGGTCGATCAATGCACATCCTTGAATGCCTTAAAAGTCCACCTGGAAATAGACAGGCCTAAGTGCACAATATATATATTTTTGTGCATTTCATGTGATCATAATCAATTTAACTGACATGTAAGCTCATAAATAGTAAAGAATTGTGCAAATACTATAATTTTAATAAATAATGTACATTTATAATATATATATATTTTTTATTTATAATGGCCGATAAGTGATATTCTCATTTGATATTTAATGTATCATAAATATTGTTTATTAACATCATAATAATGTATAATGTTTTATTATGAGAGCACATCAATGTACATTTATGCAAAGTAGTAGAAGAGTGTTAATAAGAAGAAAAATCTGAATATGGGAAAAATTGGTCAACTCCATAATCTATCAAGACCTATCAAATACTTCAGATAAAGGTTTTAGAAGACATAAATCGTGATTCTGCTCAGATCAAATTGTTTGATGGACGGTTCTGATGCTTCAGTTTGGATTTGTGACTCATTCAGGTATGTAAGCAATGGCAAAAGTGAATACACCAACTTTTGACAGCATTAGATTTTAACGACACACACGCAGAGCAATGACACACCGGTTGAATTAGTGCTACAGGTCAAGGCTGAGGTCAAAGTTCTCCGTGTGAAACATTAACAGATTTGAGCAACGCGATGTTCAGTGTGTCACTCACCCACGGCGGCAGCTCTGAGCTCCGGACGGTCTGACGCACCGCTCGCTCCTCATGCTCCAGAAACGCCAGCGCCTGGTTCACCCGAGCGAATCTGCTGCCCTGGTTCCGTCTGAGCCAGAACAGCACGGCCAGGATGATGAGGACCCAGCTGAAACTGAACTCCAGATATCCCAACACGTATATGGGGAAAATCAGCAGGAATGTCTTGGCGAACTTAATTCCCATCTGCGTGGTGTCCGTCACCGCAGACTGCGGCTCCTCGTCCGGTACCGCCGGTGTGTTGACATCCGTGGGACTCGGAGGTACAGAACCCGGTCCGTTCTGACTGACCGCTGGTGCGGGTTTGGGTTCTCCACCGTTTACTGACGCACTCATCTCCAAAGTACACAAATCCAAAACAAACAACAAAACTAAAGAAACAAGAGAGCTTCTACAGAAACATCTCAAACGTTTAACGTTACAAATCTTTTCAGAAAACAAAACGAGTCGCGTCGCTTGGTTCCGGGCTCTTCCCTGGAGCGCAGATGATTGGATCAGCGCTGCTCCTTAAACTGCTCCCCACCCGACCTTGCCTTGTATGGAGCGGCCGTCGGCCCGTGATTTTCCGCCCTTCAAAGCGAACTTTAACTCGCTCGAGTCTCCCAGCTGCTGTCCGTCTCTGAGTGAGCGCCACGTCTCGCTGTCCCAACCGTCACCGCGCGAGCTGTGAGCGGCACCACCTCTCGCATTCACCACATCCTGCAATAACACGCACTCTGCCCAAACCCGCTGCTCAGGGTTACACAGGAAGCCTCTCACTGATAGTATGAAGGTGGCGCAACGAGCGCGCAGAGGCTGTCTGTTAGCGCCACCTTGTGGACAGAGTTTAACATGCAGAAACACTCAATAGTATGTTCCTGCACAACCGGAGGCTGCAGTTTCAGGACCGCAGTTCTAGGACCCTATTCTTTTGTAACAGCGCCACCTACAGAATTGGATCACTAAAGATGGACGATATGGACAGCAATCAGAGTGAGTAACTTTACCGATTTTCAATTGTTTTATTTTATAACCTTAAAACGATGCAAAGTTTACGTAGCCAACGTGAGAACTGCTAAGAAATAATAATGAATTCCAGATTGCTAGTTTTATTGATTATTACGATGTTCTTAATTCGTGGCCATGATTTAATTAAGCTAAACCTTGTTGACATAATGACTACAATAAGTAAATCTAGCCAGCACATACTATAAGTATCAACTTATGAGAGTTAGTTGACATGTAGTTGCAAAGTTGCTTATAGTCAATAGACTAAAGGGGACCATCAAAATAAAATGTAATCTAATAAAAAAAAAAACACGTTGCATTTTTTCATTTGAAAGTATTACAACTGATCTTAAACTAGCTCACAGCTAAATTGATATTAACCTCACAGGAAACATTCAAAAGAACACTCAACCACTCCTAACCACTCACAAGATGTAGTAAAATACTGTCCAGATCTTAAATAAACAATGTCAAGATAATCCATTATAAATTAAGTGGATTTATTATGGTATTCATTGTGTGTTATACGTAATCATACTCTTTAAAGTTATAACCACAAAAGCGTAAGTATTATAATGTATTATAAATGTTATGATTATTTACGAGATGATACAACATATTATTAAGCTTTTTTATAATGCTTTATGC